TTTTTTTTTTTTGCGGAACCAGGGATTGAACTCAGACCCTTGCACTTTGCAGGCAAGCGCTTATTCTACTGAGCCATCTCCCTGGCCCCCTTCCTCAGCCTTCTGAGTGCTGGGATGACAAGCCTGTACCACCATGCCTGGCTGGGACCACCTTTTGAACTTGCAGTCAAGAGCAGCCTCAGGGGACCTCTGCCACTCTGGAGAGAAGATGGAAGAATCAAAAAGGAGGCTGGAAGTGGTCAGAGCAGGAAGGTGGATTTATGAGGGAACAGATGGAAAAAGGCCCAGGGAGAAAAGGGATATCATGAAAATGTAAATATACTTTTACCCAAAGTGAGGGAATTGAAGCTATGACATCTTTACTTTAAAAAAACAGTCCCCCCCCAAAAGTGAATTTTCTTTCCCTTAACAATATACTGTGTACAAGGAGAGGCAAATGGAGTGTTGATAGTCTAGTAATAGTTATGCAATAATAATATGAGCACAAGTGCCATATTGCACCTTATAATCAACACTTCACATTAACTTTATGAAAGAAAGTAGTTCGTAGTCCACAGGAGGGCTTTTACATTCATCTTTTCCATTTACCTCATCAACCCACTCAAATGGGTAAAGCATTATGAGGCCCATTTTATAGGCAAGAAGACTGAGGCCCATGGAGGATATGTACAATTACCTGAGGTATAATTATGAGCAAGGAGGGGCAAGTTTGTCCTAGCAGCCCAAAGCTAAAAGACATACCAGTCATCTTTAGGATGATTCTTTTTCTATGACCTCTCAGGGCTGAATCTCCAGTGTATATCTAGGTTGAGCAGTCCAGTGCTGCCTGCAAGTTTTTATATCTTAACACCCTTCTGATTTTTTTTTTTTTTTCTTTCAGTAAACTGGGAGTTGAACCTAGGGCCTTAAACATGTGAGGTGAGAGCTACCACTCAGCCTTGTTATCATTATTTTGGTACTGGAGGTTGAACCCCAGGCCCTCACACTATATTACATCCTCAGGCCTAATTAATTAATTAATTTCACAGGGATCAATCCCCGGTACCACAAAAAAATAAATAAATAAATAAAAATTAAAAAAAAAATCACAGGGATTGAACCCAGGGCCTTTGTGCTGACCTGCATTTCCAGTCCAGTTTTACTTTTTATTTTGGGACAAGGTTTCACTAAGTTACTAAATTGCCAAGGCTGGGCTTGAATTTATCATCTGTCCTCCTGTCTCCTCCTTCCAGAGCGCTGAAATTACAGATTTGAGGCCCCATGTTTAGCTTTGATGATTTTGTTGAGACAGAGTCTGCCTAAGTTGCCCAGGTTGGCCTCAAACTCCTAATCTTCTTACCTTAGTCTCCTGAATACCTGAGTCCTCTGGCTATAGAGCAAGGCAGCAGGAGGAATTTCTAGGCTCCTGCTTTGTGTCCTTCCCTAAGCACATGTCATAACCCTTTCTTTTGTCTGTACTGTGATTCTAGAGACACCACCTTGGGCATTCTCTATTGTTTGCTATTCCTCTCAGGGGTGTGTGTGTGTGTGTGTGTGTGTGTGTGTGTGTGATGGAAGGCAGGCAAGCCCTACAGGCACAGGAAGTTCTGGTGCATGGAACTCATCCAAGGTACTCAGGTAGGTGTTCAAAAAGCCTGAGGCCCAGTGGAATCTTCCCCCGACCCCCACTGGGGTTTGAACTCAGGCCCTTGCGCTTGCCAGGCAAGTGCTTATTCTACTGAGCCTTCTCCCTGGTCCCCAGTGGAATCTTTTTTTTTTTTTTTTTTCCCCCAGTGGAATCTTAAATGTAGTGGTTCTCAAACTTTGGTCTGCAACAGAAATATGGGGATGTCCAGGCTACAGGCTTTCTGAATCTGAACTCCAAGGGGAGGTGCCTGGCTACTGTAGTTTAACAAGCTCCCCAGTTGATTCTGAAGTACAGTGGAACTTGTGAACCATCGGCTTTGCCTAGGAGTGGGAGTTCATCAAGTGAGGGAGGGTGGTACCATTCTGGGAGATGAGGTGACAACAGTAGAAGCCCAGGGAGCCCAGAGAAGACACAGCGAACATTACAAATGTCAGCTCCATCTTTATCTCCTTTAACAAAATGGTCAAGTAAGTGGGGTTAGAAGTCTTTTCAGACTTGTCCTACTTTTTGACAGATTTGCTATGTGAAATAGGAAAGAGCAAAGAACTCCTTTTAGAAGCAATTGAAATAGACCATCTTTTTCAGAACACAGAATAGAGGTTACCAAGGCGGGGGGGGGGTAATGGGAATGAGGAGTTATTGTTTAATGGGCAGATTTTTGCTTGGATTGATGAAAATTTGGAAATGGATAGTAGTGATGGTCTAGCATTAAATATATTTAATGCAGTTGCACTGTGTACTTAGGTATGGTTAAAGTGGTACATTTCTTATTATGTATGTGTTAAAATTAAAAGAAAATAAGTGGTCTTTTGAGGCCTAGAATGATAGGAGCAAATCACATTTAGCCAATTGTTGCTGCCCCAGGTGTACATGGTGGGGACAGAGAGGCATCAACTCACAGCACCTACCCTGACAAAGTACAGTACAAGTATATTCATGGGAACAAGGGAATAGAAATAACTTTGGAAAATAGGTGGTAGTGAGGATTTCATATAATATAGGATAGCTGGGGATATAGCTCAGTGGCACAAGCACCTGCCTGGCAAACACCAGTTCTTGAGTTCAACTCCCAGTACCAGAAACAGCAACAAAAAAGAGAGCTATAGTATAGAAGTTATTATTTTGTCATCCCCCTTTGGCTGGTTACTGGGTTCAATATCACTTCTTTAAGCTTTATTGAGCATAGATGTCACCTGGGAACATTGTTCAACTGCAAATTCTGAGTTAGTAGATCTTTGTAGGTCAGAAGGTGCTGACTCTCTAGACCTATTTGGGAGGTTGTATAAATTTAATCAACCTAGTCCTTGAAATAGTGGCCCTGTAAATATATGGAGTAATGAAATGGGTTTGCAAGGTCCAAGAAAGCCACTCTGCAGTGTACAATATCTGGAAAAAAAATCTCTCCATCTGAGGAGGAACTAAAGTGTAGAGAACCTTCTGGTATGGGAGTTTTCAGATTTTGGCACCTAAGTAATTGCTGTATTTTTCTTCAAATCCATCCTTTTAAACTGGTTTTGAAGAGGTTCATAAAACATAGGAAGGTGACAATGTTGCCAATATTTTCTAGCATCGCTTATGATGGTAACCACCCTGGCGGTTGAGTGATGATGAAGTGTTGGAGAAGTTAGGGGAGGGGAAAGAGAGAGGTGAGAATGAACAGGAGGAACTACATCTCCCATAATGCGCCGCGAAAACAAACGCCCTGATACCGCCCCATCCCTTGGACCGACAAGACCCACCCATGTGGTGACGTCACAAAGGTGACGTCACGGCGCCCAAAGCGAGGCTAGGGTAGAGAAGCCGATCGAGCAGGAGACGTCCGCTTGTGGTGGAGGCGGCTGGGAGCTGGCAAGAGGGTGAGCGGGCGAGAAGGCGAGCGAGAAGGCAGAACAGGCAGCAGGGAGCGTCGCGCCCCTTCGAGGAACGCCGGGTCGGGTAGCGGCAGACCTACAGCCTGAGAGAGCTGCCTGAGCTGGCCGCCGGGGGTCCCCACCCCCACCCAGCCGGTCGGTGCCCGGTGTTTCCCCGTGCGGGAGGCGGCGGCTGCGGCTGACTGGACCCGACGGGACCGCGGGCGTGTTGCCACCTCCGCCGAGGAGCCGGTGCGGCCGCGGGCCTCTCAGAGCCAGGGTGCGGGGCCCTGACAGACGGGCCGGAGAAGGGAGCGAGGCGGCGGCGCAGGCGACGGGGAGGCGGCGGCAGCAGCGACACCATGTCATCTCCCAGTCCGGGCAAGAGGCGGATGGACACGGACGTGGTCAAGCTGTATCCTTCGTGGAGGAGGCAGTCGGGCTGTGTGTGGGGTTGGCGTGGGGGGCCAGGGCGCCCTCCGGCTCCCGAGCTAGGTCCCCGTGGTGCTCGGGGCCACTGTCCGAGCTCCTTTCCTTCCCCTGGCGACGGCGGCTCCAGGGCACCTCCCAGGGACCGAAGGCCTTCCTAGCTCCCCTTATGTGCAGCACCCCAACATATGTATATCTGCTCCTCCTCGCTCTTGCTGCTCCCCAGGAGCCTGCCTCCACGACGTTTGGACTCCCAAGACGGCTTTTTTCTCCTTTTTGGCAGGACTACCCGCCTCATTCTTCACCTCCGAGTCTGTCTTCACGGTTTCTCTTTCCTGTTTGCTCTTTCTTGATTCAGGGACTCAAGGTAGAAATTCCTGATAGAGAAGCCTTTCTTCCTTTCTTAAGAGATGCCCCCATTACTTACACTCACAATGCTTCTTGAACTGGGGTAACTCAAGCGACCTCCTTTATTCCTAATTCCTTTCTATATTAGGAAGAGAGTAGTCTGCTTAGGGCCCCTCTTCTAATAAAGAGCTCTGTGTGTTTCAAATTAGATATTTCTGTTAAGCTATCTGATTTCTGGAAATGTTTTCTACTGACAAAGCCTAATTCACCCATAGTTGTGTGCAGTAGGACCCCCAGGCCCTCTAGCAAGCCACCCTCCATATTGTGGATCTGACAGCTGGGAGGAAGGAGAGAAAGAGGAGCTCCCAACTCCTCTGTACTGTCCACCTAAGCAGAACCCTCTGTGTGAGGGTAAGCTGGGGGACTGCTTGCCCTGATCTTGCCAGGTGACACCCTTGATTTCTTACCATCTCCTCAACTTTATACACTCGAGGTTGCAGTGAGAAAGCTGTAACTGATAAGGCAGTGGTTTTGGTTTAGAGTCCAGACTGATTATTTCATGACCAGCTGGAGAAATTCGCGAAGGTTCCCGAGACAAATTGAGGAATTTTTTTTGAGGGCTAATTTAGAGAGCGAGCGAGTGTGTGTCCGTGTGTGTCCCAGTGTTCTGAATAGCTAATCTCTAGGGAGAGGGGGGAAGGGAGTAGGGGGGCGGTAGTGTGTGAAAGGCAGTTAAAAAGTCCTGTCTCCTGTTTCTGCCTCGGCCTCACCCCCATCCCCCCACCATTTCCCCCTGTTGCAGGGTTTTGTTTATATAACTCAAGTTGTTTGGCTAGATTTTTCAGGTGAATTTCTTTTTCCTTTTATTACAGTTTTTGATGATTTGCTTTATTTTTTGTAGAGATTGATTATTATGATGAAATACAGAATTTGCTGAAGTTTTTGAAAGTAGTTTTTGCATATGGTTTGAAAGTGGGGGATGGGAGGGAAGTTGCCTGGATAAGAGATTATTTTTTTCATAATCTTTTTCAGGAATAACAAGGTGTTTTTCTTCTTGCTCAGCGAATACTTGGCTAGGATTTGGAGCTCGTAAATAAACTTCTAAGTTTAGGATTTGGAGTTTAGAATTTTTAGGGGATAGTGGCAGACATTAGAGGGAACAAGTAATTAAGTGTCACATACAGATATATGTCTAGGCACAAATGAAGTCAACTCTATGAGCCGTTTGTGGCTGTGCTTGTTTTGTAAATGTGTGAACGACATCAATAATGTTGGCTTTTCATGAGGTTGCAGGAAAACTTGTAATTATGACTACATTTTACACAAAGCAGTTTCAGGTTTTATTTTTGTTTAGAAACTAGGAAATGACACGGTGGTAGACTCGAGTTATTTTTATCTTGAATTGAGAGTTACTGTCACACCTAATGCAAATTTCTATTTAATGTGTAATTGGGATGGAGTGAGGGGGAGAATTCCAGCTGTTTTTGATTGATGTCAGATCTTCCAATTATGTACATACATAGATTTCTAAAAGATTGAGGATAAAGAGTGAGGCCTAACTTGACCTGATGCCTTTTCCATATAGTGCCTTTTGTTCATTTAGTAGTTGTGGCATCTAGAATGATTACCGCATTTAAAAGTCAGGGTATAGGGGGTGGAGAGAGAGAGAGGAAAACAGACAAAGAACAGCAGGGTGTCTTTTTTCCCTCCCCCTAAGTGGCTTATTTCATAGCTTATTTTTAGTAGAAGATGAAGAAAGGCAAAGATGCATTGGCCTTCTGTTCTTTCCCTACCTTCTTTCTTGCTGACAAAAGAAAGAGACGCTTTAAAATTGTAGATCTCAAAGACAGGAGGATAAGAGTTTCAGGATTTAAGACAGAGGTTATCTTTGTTTCTTGTTGTTTCCTGGTCAAATGTAGTTTAGAAGTTAAAATTTTTCAGATTTCTTTTTTTGTGTGTGTGTTATGTTGTGGGCATGAGAGATTTTTGTGGCTTCCTTTCTCTCTGAAATTCACATCAGTAGGCCCAAAGGGGGCCCACAAATTTTGAGTAAGGTATATTTCATAAGAAATTTAAGAGAAAATTCCCCAACCCACTATTAGAATGAGTATAATTGTGTGAAAGGGCCTAGGGTTGAAAATGAAAGATGGTGGAGAGGAAGTAGAAAGAAAGGTCTGAAGGAATGTACACTACTTCTTGTCCCTCGTTGCCCCTGATGATTTCCGTGGTGTGGAGGCTGATAGCTGGTTTCGTTGCAGTCTCCTGTTTCAGCCCATTTTTGGCTGTCTCCTGAGCATAATTATACCACCACGATTTACAGCTTGGCAGGGAACCTATATAGTAGGAAAGTAGCGGTGTGGGGGTAGGGAGAGAAGAGGATGTGTAACTAATTGGCCGCTGCCTTTCACCACCTTGTTAGGTTCTTTCCAGCACTGTCTTGGGTGGTTGTTTGTAGTCTGATATTTCTTTTGTGATGGGTTGGTAGGAGGAGAGCTGACTCCCAAGTTATGCAGGGAGTGAGTGTTTTGCACCGATGCACTTAATAATCTGCTGGGCGATTATGTTCTGAAACTCTGACTCACTCATTCTTTCTCTTCTGAATCCTCTGCTGAGGGTTGTGCAAACCTCCCCAGGAGCCTAGAAACTGATTACATGACTTTTGGGTGCTGTAGGAATATGTCTCAATTAAAAAAACAAAACCCCCCTCAAAACTCAAATCCTGTGGAGTGCAGCCATTTGTTTGCAAAGTCAGGTAGATGGTGATCCTGTGCCCCTCCCATCCTGACAATCTTTGAGGTTTCCATCTCCAACCCCGCTGATTATTTAAATTGTCTGAGAACTGGGACTCCGGTGACCTTAAAGTGTGATTTGCCCTAAAGGAATATGGGTTTAAGTTCTCCCTGGTGGAGGAACAAACAGCTCAGATTACATGGGTTCCCTTGTTGGTGGGGGTTTGCTACTCTCACCCTGTTGCACAGCCCTGGTGATCCTTTTATCTGTGAACCAGTGGCCCCTGCTGAAGGCTAGCGCTGCTTGTTTTGGAAAAGCGTAAGCAGGCAAAAGGCCGCAGGCACAGCTCCTTGCAGCTCATTGGCTGCTCTGTTACTACCCGGAAAAGGAGAAGGGGTGGAGCTACTAAACAGCTGATGGAGTGTGTGACAAGAGTGTGTTTACATACAAAAGGAGGTGGGGGCTTGGGAGGCCTAGAGAACCTCCTTACTGGACTCTAAAAATATATTTTCAAGGGTGGGGGGAAAAAAAGCCTGGCCTGTTGGGAGTACAAGAAATGAAGGAAATTAAGGTTAAAAGTTAAACTAGAAAAGTGGATCTGGTAATAATGGGGACCTGGCACACACCATATTTATTATATTGGTGTAAGATTTGGAAATTTACCATAGCAAGAATTTTACAAGATTTTCACAGGGAGGGAGGGACCAAGTGCAAGAACAAGATAGGATATGCCACTTTAATACTGACTCGTAGGCAGGGATTCCAAAAGTATGGTAAAAATGTAAGCTTCCCTCTTAAAAGCTTCCACAGTGATAGAAAGGGGCAGCATATTCCACTCACTAACAGTGTGAATGAGTCTTAAAACTTGCTGGTGGCTGCTTTACAGTTTCTCTTTAGTATTGGAAATTCAACCCAAAACCTTCATGCTGAGCTGCCTCCCAGCTCTTTTATTTTTTATTTTGAGGCAGAGTTCCACTGAGTCACCAGAGTGCCCAGGCTGGCCTCAAACTTTCAGTCCTCCTGCCTTAGCCTCCCAGAGTGCTAGGATGTGTCACCATGCCTGGCTCTGGTTTCTATAACACATTTAAAGCCTCAAATATTTGACTATCTGTTTTAACCAGGCATAGTGTTGGGGGGTCTAGTGGTGAAAAATTCAGTGTTATGATAATTGTGGAATTAGAACAACTACTGCTACTAGTGGCTTGAAACAAGGTTTCCCTTTGTGACCCAGGCTGGACTTGAATTCCTAAACAAATTTTTCTTTTTAATCAGAAAAGACATTCTGTGTTTATATCAGATCAGCACTCTGTCCATGACCCTGTATTTTGAGTAGCTTGTATTTGCTTTGAGAATTGACTTCAAGAAATAAAGCTTTTGGGGTTTAGCACGTTTGTAACTCAGTACTAGATCGCTTGCCAACCGCCCTCAAGGCCCTGGGTTTAGTTCTCAGTGCACACATGCACATACATAACAAAGAGGTTAAAAAGTGATGAGATTTGCTATTTCTTTTAGTTATTTAAAATAACAGATATTAGCCAGGTGTGCTGGCACAGGCCTGTAATCCCAGGACTCCCAGCACTTTTGAGAAGCTGAGAAAGGAGGGGGGAGGCTAAGGCAGGAAGATTGGCAAGAATTTGAGGCTAGTCTAGGCTAAATAGTGAGTTCAAGGCCAGCGTGAGCTACATAGCTAGACCATATCTCAAAAACAGACTGGGGCCAGGCATGGTGATACATGCCTGTAATCCCATCACTTTGAGGCTGAGACAAGACAATCACTGCAAATTCAAGGCCAGCCTAAACTACGAAGTGAGACTGTCTTAAAAAACAACAAAACAAACTAAAAAAATCCCAAACCCCAGAAAAACAAAATAGATATTTAAAAAACGGGAACAAAAACATTAAAATGTG